GGGGACCCGCCTGGCCCGCGAGGGAAGTGGCGCTCCGGCGCGGCTCCCCCGCCTGCCCGGGCCGCCCGCAGCTCCCCCACCCCAGCCTGGACTGGGGAGCCCCAGGGCCACGACCCACCTGGGGGCAAACCCAGGTGTGCCGCCTGACGCCTGTCGTCAAGGCTCAGAACTCGGTGGCGTCTGCAGGGACTGCAGCCCCAGACCCCCGGGAAGGCAGCCTGTGCCGTGCCCGCCCTCCTAGGGGGCAGAGGATTCCTAACCCCATTTTACAGATGGAGAAACCGAGGCTCCCAGGGGACCTCTGCCTGCATGTGTGAAACAGATATAGGCACTCTTGTCGTCTATATGTGTGTGTGTGCGTGTCCAGGAAATACCCAAGTCGCGGGCACCCCAGGAAGCAGCTCAGGACCCCTGAGTCCAGCATGATCTCTTCCTTTGGAGGGCTGTTTCTTCAGTTCCCTCCCATGAAGCCAGCCAGCTGGGGCTGAGAGTGGCCCTACCCAGGCAACCCTTCTCCGCCTCAGGCAGGAGACCGTGGTCTGTGTGTATCTGAGCAGGTAAAGGGCACGTGTGTAAAGGCACATGTGTGCTGTGTGTCTGAGCCTCTGTGTGGTCTGAGTGTCTACGTGTGCCCACTCTGCATCCAGAAATGACCCTGTGGGGGTCAGGTCTCTCCGTATCTCGATACGCTTGTGTGACTGTGTGATTGTGTCCACTGTGCATCCAGTGGAATTGTGAGCTTGCATACCTGCCTGTCTCTGCATGTGTGTGTCTGTCTCCTTGTAAATATCTGGACGGCGTCTGTGTGACTGTGCCCCTTTCTGTGCATTTGTCTGTGTGTCCCTCTGCCCTCACCACCCCCTGTACCCAGCTCCCAGCTTGGAGAACCCAGCAGGATTGGGAGGCACGAGTTGACTGGGCCAGCCTGGGGATGGTGGGTGTCAGTGGGGGAGGAGGAGGCCTGGAGGTGGCCCTTGCAGTTCACATTCCAGCCAGGAGCTGGGAGGCCAGGCCAGCCGGGCTCTCACCCCTGTGACCTCTGTGTCCGCCGCCTGCCTGCCTGCCCACCCACGAGGGCCGCCAGAGATGCTGCCTTCCTGCCTGGCCAGGCCTGATCCTGGAGGTCCAGGAGCCAGGGGCCAGTCATCGGCCAGCCAGGCTGGGAAGAACATTCTGACGAGCTCCAACATGCTGGGGCTCTCGGAGAAAACCAGCTCCTTCCTGGGAGCTTCCAGGGTCATTGTGGAGGGTCACTGTGCTATGTGAGGGGGAGTGGATGTGTGGTGTGGATTTCTGTGCCATATGTGTCCACAACATCTGTGTATACACGTGTGTGAGTCTGTGTGTGTCTTTATTTTGAGCTTGAGTTTGTGTATGTGGGCACAGTTGTATATTTAAGTATCTGTGTCTTGTGTGCCTGCTTCTCACTGAGTACTTGGGTGTGAGGTGTGTCTGCTGTGTGTGCCTGTATTTGTGAACTCACTCTTTGACACTTGCTGCTTGGGCCCTGTCTTGCCCCCAGGCGTGCCTGCAGGTGCTGGTGTGGTGAGTCCCTTGGAGTCCATGTCCACGGAGGCAGGGGACACAGATGGCCTGGGTCGCTGAGGCTCTCTCTTCCCTATTGAGTGAACTCACCTGGGGGATGGCTGTGATTCCCACAAGTGCACCTCAGTTTTCTGTCACTAAACTGGGCACAGTCCCCTTCTTACCTGGCTTCCTGGGTTGTGAGATGAGTCGGCTGAAGTCAGCTGGTAACAGAGAACCCGAAGACTCCAGATTTGCACGGATTGCATAGAACGTTCCTGCTCACACCCACTCCAGGCAGGTGTGCTCGGGGTCCTTCCCCTTTTGCACTGAGGCTCCTCTCCTGGCAACCACATAACCCAAGGAGCTTTGCTTCCAGAGTCCTGCTTCCCCCGTGAGTGGGGACCCGCCTGGCCCGCGAGGGAAGTGGCAGCGGCCCCACCCCAAGCCTGGACTGGGGAGCCACAGGGCCACGGCCGTAGTGGGAATGATAACAGAACTTACCCCACAGGGTCGTATGAGGCCTGATACAGCTCCTGGGGTAGCTGGTAGCGGTTGGGCATGATTCCTCACTCAATGTTTGATTCATATCAGAGAAATAAAAACACTGCAGTCAAGAGCAGAGTCCTTGACAGCATGGACACGAGACAGGCAGAAAATAAAGGGTCTTATGCTTCTACCCATGGCAGGGAGTGGGGGATGGAGGGATCTGCGCAGGCGCACACACGTACCAATTCCCCCCGTCACACTCTGGGCGGTCAGTCCTCACTGTCACTGAGGCCCTTGGAGGAGAGCCAGGTGCTGAGGGGATGGCAGTCACTGCCCACAATCCAACACGTCGCTGTCTGTCATCACACTTGCTGCTGTTTGGGGGAGAGAATGGATCTTGACTGGACACCTGCCATATGCCTCATGTGCCCAGCTGTGTGCCTTCAACGCCTCGGCTCAGTGACTTCTGACCCCAGCCCTGTGCCATAGGCTTGCCTTACTCGCATTTTGGAGATGGAGAGACGGAGGCCTGGGAAGTCTGAGCGATTGGTCTCTAGTCATTTAGCCGCTAAGGAAGGAGCAGCAAGGAGAATCAGAGCTAGATCTTTCTCCAGAGCCCTCTCCAGTGAGCTTGAGCTCTACCTCCCACTCCGATGGGCGCCTTGAGGCAGGACTGGGGTCTTGGGCCTTTGCTGGGCTTCTCCTTGTTGAGCAGAGGGCATGCGTGACGAGTTCTGGCCGGTGCCCGGAACAGGAGTTGGGGGGAAGCCCTGATCCCAGGATTCTCAACTCACCAGAGAGGGCACGTGCAGATAAGCCCGGGGCTGGCTGTGGAGACACCGTTCAGGCCATGACCACAAAGCCGTGGATCCAGTCTTCCAGCCATGCTGCGGGCTGGCCCTGGCTACCATGGCTGCCCGCAAACACGGGGCTGCCCATACCTTCCCTTAGTCATGGCCAGAGCCCGGAACACCTGCCCCAACCCATCCCGACCCCTTGGCTTCCAGCTGCCTGACTCATTTTCCCATGTGGTCTGCCTTCTTCATTGTCCCGCCCTCTGAACCTTCCCTCAGCCGTGACCCTTCCTGCTCTCTTAATGACTTTCAGCATCTGTCTCCAGAGAGGTGTCTCGAGTGTCGCTGGAAAGCACCCTCTCCTTCTGACCCTGTCCCTGAGCCCAGCCAGAGTGGCTGAGAAGTGGCAAGAGAGGGCAGCCGTGGGTCAAGGGCCTCTTCACTTACAGGCTGAACATGTGTCACAGCAACAGCCACCCAGTCGCCTGCCAGAAGATGCACAGTCGACCTCTTCCACCATCTTCTCCTACCCCCTGGGCAGGATTTCCTGTGGACCCGCCTAGCCCCCTTGCCTCACATCATCCCAAGCTATTCTTCTCTCCATGCACCTCTTCTAGGTGGGACTCAGTGGCTCCCCTGGCCACCAACATGGGGTAAGATGCACCATCCAGGCTCCCCCAAAGGCCCCTCTGTCATGGCACCAGCCCTCAGTATCCTAATTGCTCAGTTGCTTATCTGTCCTGCCTGGCTGTGAGATCTAAGAGAGTAGATGTTATGTCTCACTCACCCTACACGCTCAGTGCCTCGCTTGGTACCCGGCACACAGCAGAGCTCGATTGGTGTGTGTCCAGTTGAGCCCGACTTCAGAGACCACTCCTTTCCCCATGGGGAAAATGTGCCAAGTCTGCCCATTCCTTACTCAAATGCCTTTCAGCTATTCAGAGGTACCCCTCCTAGACGCTGTACTCAAGACCTATCAACTTGGGTGGGCTGGTCCACAGGAGTGGGGGAGTGTGGGAGAACTCCTGCTACTATGTAATCATGTGCCGGGTGGTCACCACAGCCCCACCAGCCCCAGGGGACAAGGCTCACGCCTCAGGCCAGAGGCCAGAACCCAGTGGCGGGCCTGGGATGGGGTCCAGTTGGAAGGAGGCCAGGAGAAGAGCCCATAGGTGACCAAGTGGGTCGCCAATGAGGTGGGAAACAAGATGGCACCCACCCCGGGTCAGGAACAGGGGCAGTCAGCAAGGTGCCCACGGCCTGGTCCCAGGCTTCTGGGGCGACGTGTCGTCACCAAAGGAATAGAAACCTGTACTTTGGGAACTTGGCAGCCAAGGCTGGGTTTTTCATGTTTTCTGTAATTATTTCTCTTTTGTTCTCCCTTAGTATTTAGTAAAGCCCTTTCTGAAAATGCCAGCTGGTCTCAGCTGCGCTAGGAGTGACAAAGGGGAACTCTGCGCCCGCTTGGCCTTCTGCTTTATGGAGGGGCCTGGCTTCGTGGTGGCAGCAACGTCAAAGACACCAAGGGCATGAGGGGCTTTGGGCCGCAGCCGCACCCCAGGTCCAGACTTCCTCCCTGATGCTGGTCCCTTCCAGGCTCGCAGGCCCCCGCCTCAGCAGCCTGGGTTTTCTTGAGACCTGGGAGGCTGCAGAACCAGCCACAGCCGCTGTGAGAGAGGACACCTGTGGGGATCCCGGTGGTGTCAACAGCTCTGGGGAGATCTGGGGGCCAGCACCCTGGGGGCAGCCCTCCCCGGCTGGGGCCACCTGGCCAGCCACTGGGGAGGACCCAGGTGCCCACACTCCCTTCCCTTCCTGCACTTATGACCCAGGGCCCTTCCTAAGCCTTGGTCCCCACCTGTCTGCTGCCCTGGGGGGGGTCGGGGAGGGAACACTCAGCCGGTCCCCTGCCACCTGCCCGGGCCCTACCACCTCCTCATGTCCTGTAACTGTGCCCCCTCTTATTCTGCACCCCCTTCTCAAGCCCCTGTCATCGTTCAGCTGCTCTGGGGAGAGGCCCGGAGACTTTCCTCCTCAGAAACAAT